AACCCGCGACCCGCAGATTGCGAGTCGAGCGTCCTAACCACCTGGCGAGGCAAAAGTGACTATACAGTTTTTTTTACTTAATATACAGTTCAAGTTCTAACGTCTTACTTTGAAAGAAAAACAATAATTAATTAAATTGGTTTCAACTATGTTCGTAACATTTTGTTTAGTACAATGCGTTCAATATTAATTGTACCAACTGTATAATAAATTTTACCCGACCTTGTAAAACAAAAAAACAAAAAAAACTCATTTTTCCATACGTTCGATGGAAGATTAAATAAAGCATCAGTAAATATAGAAACAAAACAAAGCTTATATATCTAAGTAAAATTTTCTTTTGAATTCAAAGGCTATGATAAAACATAACAATTACTATTTCAGCGCCATCTACAGACTAAACCTTAATGGAGGTCGAGTGCACAAGTTGCTATAACCATATGTAGCCAACTGTTTTTCATTCCTAAAACGACCTTTTTTCGTACTATTTAAGGCAGTTTGCCTCTAAAGTTACTACCATCGACTTCCTGTCATATATTATCAACCTGACAGCTCAATAGCTAAACATGCTTATGCCACGTGGTTTTACAGAGATTGATGCCTTTCAATTAATTTGTCTTGTTTCCACAGACATGGTGTACGTGCACTGCACTCAGCCCAGTTTGACATTATACAGAAAATCGTGATCCAGGAAAACGTCAACGTTTCTGAAATTAGCGTAGATATAAAATATAAATAACTTGAAAAAACGTAGTATATCCAATTAGGACTTTTATTCGCAAACAAAAGTGTAATATGAAAATTTGTTCAAAAGAGATCATCTTCAATCTACAACACGATTTAATTATTTTTGTAATCAATTCACCAATTTATCAGATTCAATGAAAAGAGGTAGTTTAATGGTTGTCGGACACCAACATATATATACAAATAAATTATTAATTATTTAGATTAGGAAATTAAAGCAGCTTTGAGATCACTTGTATCCGACGGGATTGTTAACTAATTTATGGTATTGTTTGATACACATATTTCGAATAAACTAGCAGAATACTTAATAGTTTTTCGAACACCATATTGAGTATTCATGTATTGTGTTTGCTCAGTGAGACGCAGACCGTTTCGACAGATTTGAAATAAAAACTTAATATGGCTTGGTTTTAGTTTTGTTTTTGAATACAGTCAATGATTATCTAAAATTTGCTTAATCAATTATAACATCCTAAAAATAATACAGCGTAGATTTATTTAGTTATTTAATGCTTACAATAAACTTATGACACTGTCATGTTAACATAACTTTCGCAGAACTGATAAGTCAAGAGAATGGTAGGATAGACCTATGTAATAATTTATAATGTTTTATTTTAACAATCGCTCGTCGGATCTACTACTTATTTTTTATTTATAATAGCGTGAACAGTGAGTAAATATACAAAGAGAGAGTAAGTGGAAGGGTAAGTGATATATATAGAGATCTACCGACGTTCTACTAGACATTGTAAAACATGCAACATGTAAATTATTGTTCAACAAAAAAGTTAACCATCTGCGTCTATCTATCCATGTCTCGGTCTGTTTATGTAATGTGGTCTTAGGCATGGAGGTTTGTAAGAAACATTGTATATTTCTGCATTATTTAAGATATATTAATATTATTTTAACCTGATTTGATTCTGGTTTCTTGCAGAAGAGAGATACAACAATGTAAATAATATTTGTCCTGAAATCAGACCAGGTGAGGACGATCTCCCAGGTACGATTTTTACTATAACATTCAGTCGAAGGTTATAGTAGAGAGTAAAATAATGTTATATCAATAAGTAATAATATAGAAAGGTTCGAGTAGTTTATGCACATAATTATATTTACTTAATTACGTACAGTAATATGGGATTATTGTTACAGTATACGATGGAACTAACATATACTTCAGTTATTATGGGGTTATTGTTACACTATACGATGGAACTAACATAGACTTCAGTTATTATGGGGTTATTGTTACACTATACGATGGAACTAACATAGACTTCAGTTATTATGGGATTATTGTTACAGTATACGATGGAACTAACATATACTTCAGTTATTATGGGGTTATTGTTACACTATACGATGGAACTAACATAGGCTTCAGTTATTATGGGGTTATTGTTACAGTATACGATGGAACTAACATAGGCTTCAATTATTATGGGGTTATTGTTACAGTATACGATGGAACTAATATAGGCTTCAGTTATTATGGGGTTATTGTTACACTATACGATGGAACTAACATAGACTTCAGTTATTATGGGGTTATTGTTACAGTATACGATGGAACTAACATAGGCTTCAGTTATTATGGGGTTATTGTTACACTATACGATGGAACTAACATAGGCCTCAGTTATTATGGGGTTATTGTTACAGTATACGATGGAACTAACATAGGCTTCAGTTATTATGGGGTTATTGTTACAGTATACGATGGAACTAACATAGGCTTCAATTATTATGGGGTTATTGTTACAGTATACGATGGAACTAATATAGGCTTCAGTTATTATGGGGTTATTGTTACACTATACGATGGAACTAACATATACTTCAGTTATTATGGGGTTATTGTTACAGTATACGATGGAACTAACATAGGCTTCAGTTATTATGGGGTTATTGTTACAGTATACGATGGAACTAACAGGAACGATAACAGTAGACATAAGACTCATTCAAAAATAGGGTTACAATAGAACTAATATAGACCTCAACGCTTCATAGGGTTACAGTTATAGTTACAGAAGAGGAAGAAACGGTAGAAGAATTTAACTTTACGGTAATTAGTGGAGCTGGTACAAATAGACTTACGAATTACAGTGTTATTATTAAATGAACAAACTCAAATTACATTGATAGAAATGGTTAGAGCTACCCAGAAGATAAAGGCAAATTTAAAATATGATAGCAACATTCACAAGGACTGCATATATATATAAAGCCTTATATATACTGTATTAAACTGTTTTAAAATGTAGTTAATTAATTAGCATGTTCAGTAATGTTAATCACATTCTCATGGCGCTTTTGCACATAAAACAAAGATAAATTTATAAACTACAGAAGAAAAGTAACTCTGAGCTGGCACTTTACAGATTGCCAATTTTTCAATACAGCTTAACAAGTATTTTGTATTTTACATACCCTATCTTATGCGATTCATCTTCTTTATTCTTAATCGTTTTATTGTGGTTTACTTCTTTCTTAAGTTTTAATTAAACAATAATTTGCATTGGGGTAGGGTAAAATGTTCCATATTCCCTCTTCTCCCCCCACCATGGACGGCACTTGAAATGGTATTAGAAAATGTAAGAATGATGCAATTTCACAAATTTTTTAGCAAATCTTTAATTGAAATTATTAGTTATTTGTTATCAATATTAAACTTTTAGCATCACAAAAGCTTCATTTTTTTTGGAAGCTCTACTGGAATATTCCCCATATTCTTAAGTACTTCTAAAATATCCTGAACATGCTTGTAAAAATATTTTATCTCAGTACCAGGAGACGGTAACGTCACAACGTTAGATACGTTATGAAGTAAAATATTATGGTAAAATTTCATTACTACCAATCTAAAGGATGTTTTAATAACCTACCCAGTGTGAATTTAAATTTACTTGGATAGCTTAAATTTCTACTATATTTACATGTAGATGTGTACATATTTATATGTTATGCGATTTCTTCCTCGTTTCTTTTATTAACACACATTACTTTGTTGTAGGTTTTGACTTGATACGAACGTTTAGGCTAGATGACGTCACAAGAGGTTTTCCAGGAATTAGGAGGGTTAAAGGCTCCAACAAAGTACAGAAAGCTTATCGTATAGGCCCGCGGAAAGCTAGATTGAAATTACCTACCAGGTAATTAATAAACTTTTGAAATATTTGTATGGGGAAACTAATCTGATGAACTTTCGAGTTGATGTTCTATTATTATTATTATTATTATTTGGGACTGTATAATATGTAAATAATTACTGTGTACACTAACTTTAAGTATACTAACATTATTTATGTATTGAACAGCTAGCCCTTATAAGTGAGGTTACTATAGTTACATTGGTTCCTAAATCATATCTCGTAATTAAAATATCCATCCATCCGAAAAGTTATTATTATGTTACCATTAAATATTCTAGTTTCATCGTTTCTTTCAAAGTATTATCAATTCACACTGAAATTACAACTATAAAAAAGTGCCTTACGATAAGAAAAAAATCAGCAAAAACTGAAAACTCAGAGGTGATACACTCACAAAACATACAAACAAATAGTGATTGTAACTAATTAGTCATTTTAATCATTAGTATAACACATTATTACAAAAGCTAAAAGGTAGATAAAATGCCCAATGCATTGGTATTTTATGTATGCTTTAATCAGCGCAGTGCACCTCATATTTATGCTACCATATATTTACTAGTGAACAACTGAGAAATATTGTTCCAAATATCATGTATTATACCTTATAATTATATATTACACCTCATTTTATGCTACCATATATTTACTAGTGAACAATTGAGAAATATTGTTCCGAATATCATGTATTATACCTTATAATTATATATTACACCTCATTTTATGCTACCATATATTTACTAGTGAACAATTGAGAAATATTGTTCCAAATATCATGTATTATACCTTATAATTATATATTACACCTCATTTTTATGCTACCATATATTTACTAGTGAACAATTGAGAAATATTGTTCCGAATATCATGTATTATACCTTATAATTATATATTACACCTCATTTTATGCTATCATACATTTACTAGTGAACAATTGAGAAATATTGTTCCGAATATCATGTATTACACCTTATAATTAAGCTAAGTTATTTGATTGCTGTTTGAATTTTTTTTCAGTTTCTCACATAAGCTCATTTAATCTTAATAATAATCATATTGGCCTTTGTGCAAGCCATGCAATGGTCGCGAGTGTTCCATGAACCTCTTTACTTCTCCAGTTATCACTTCATTACATTTGCTGCAAGCTTGGGATCTCTCTCTTATTGGAAGATCAATCATTTTTGAACGGCCATTGTTCTTGAGAGAATGATAGGATGGACAAAAAAAAAATGCTTGCACCTATCAGCAGTCAGTGTGCCATCAATTTTACCTATACCATTGGCTGAGATGCAGCTCACACCTGTAATGGGCCCCAAGTGTGCTTTACTGTAACATGTTTAGATTGACCGTGGTATCGTTCTCTTCTCTGTAGTCGAACAAGCATATAGTTGATTATTATTAAACAATTTGACTTTCAATTAATCTGTAAAGAAAACGCTTCTCCAGCTTTGTTCATCCCTTGTTTGAAGTTTGCTCCCCATTTCAACCTATCGGCTTATTTATATTTCTGAAGCAGTGGATTTTGTGCAGAAACACATCCACTGAGGCTACTTAGTGCTAATGTGTACGCGCTATCTTACTTTCTGGAAATAACATTCAACGGCTGTAGTTACAGCCAGGTCATTGGAAAGTTCTTCACTGGGTTACTTATGAAGAGTTTGCATTTTCTGTCTCGACCACTTCTATTATCAACAGTACCTGTTTAACATACCCTCTTCAGTTTCCATACAGCTGCTACTGAAACACAAAGTTTCGTCTCAACATGTTGCGTAAAACAGCCTTCATCAGTCAAATATTTTATTTCTGCATGTTTTTCACGTGACATTTCTCTCCTGGGAGCTATAAGTGCATACACCGCTCTACTCCGTTTACTTTTAGAGGTATTTTGCGGGAGTGGCACTATAGTATTGGTTGAATGACAGCCAATTACGGTGTAAACTATCAGCACGTGACTGTACTATGGTACAGTTCATTTTTAATCAGTAAAGTTGAGAAGTTTTGTAATATTTGCATTTTATGTGCATTTTTTATTTCCGGTTTTCATAATTATTTCCAATACCGTATACTTTATATTTAAAAAATTTCAGACGTTGGTTTTTCTATTTAAGCACTATGCTATGAAAAACAAAGCAGGATGAATAATGGAGTCAGTAATTAAAAGTTAATCTCATATCATTGCCATATTTTTGGAGCATGATCTGCTTTTACTTGATTTTACATAAGCAGTTAATCATTCTAACTCATTCACTCTATTGAGTAAAATGATAAATGTTTTGGTGATATCGTATATATATATTACAAATTATCATTAACTAGCTAATGGAACCCGTTAAGGTTGTATAAAAAACGATGTTAGATAATGTTTCCATTCCTTTTCTCTTCCATATTTCAGGGTCTTTTTTATCCCCCATTCTCAGCAAAAATCCCAAAACAAAATAGGTCTTGTATATCGCTCGACAGTTCCAAATTTACATGCCAAAAATTTCGTTAATCAAGTCAGCCAACTCTTGGTGATAGATGCCAACACACACAATGGATAATCTTTATAGTAAGATAGTATTATTAAATCATGAATTGCAATATTCAATGATTGTATGTGACTGTTTTCAAATGCTTAATAATAATGTTAAAGTGACCTTTAGATATTGTAGTATAATTGTGTTATGATCTATATTAACATAGAACTCTTATGTCAGTATTTATATTAACTTTAGATATTGATTGATTTCTTTCATATTTTTCCTTAAGCTCGATGTTTCCTCTCGGCTTGCCAGAAGAATTTTCTTTTGTTGCTACTTTTCGAAAGCGGAATTTTAATAAAAAGCCATGGCATTTGCTTCGTATGAATGGACGGAGAGGCAACCCTCAGTTTGGAATTACAGTCAACCCTAAGACCAATCAATTTAATTTCTACATAGTGGATAACCAGAGGGAGCTGCAGACAAAGAGATTTCAAGACGTAAATGTAGGTCATCTTATATGAATGATCACAGGATGAATATAACGCAATACTTCCAGACACACACAAAAACGGGAGATACTTCTGTACATGATACTGCCATATTTAACTCTCTCTCTAAAGTTTAGGTTACTCAAGGCTTCTTTTCTTCCTGTTATCAGACGTACCCTTTTTTTAACTCAACTGTGATATTTATATTTCTAAACACACAGTGTTGAATCCTTTTCCTCTAGTACACTTCATCTGTTTCTGATTACTTAAAACTGCCCTAAAGAAAGATATTTTTCTTTTCGTTTAAAGTACCAAAGGCTGATATTCTGAAATTGGTATTTCATGTTCTTTATCTTAGTAAGTTTTAATGAAGTTGTGATGAAAGTGTCAGAAGCAATAATTAAAGTTAGGTAGATATAAACAGGCCTTCCGCCCATTAAAAGGGGAAAAAAATGTAGAAGGGTTTTAAAAATAATTAATACTACACAATCAATTCTTCTGTTCATTTGTAGAAAAAAATCTCACACTAGTTTTAACTATCTGCCACTCAGTCCTTGAAGTTCCTTTGTGGCTAATGCTAAAATATCTTTTAAAAGTACAAAATTTAAGGTACACGCAAACTAATGTCACCAAAATCAGTGATTTTCAAGCAGTGTAAATACCAATGTTTGCTTCTTTTCATACGACATTTTTTTTGTTTAAAGTTCACAGATACAATGTAAGTTAGAACATATGTATGTATATATACTCATATAGTTTTCGTTGGCTTCGCTCTTCTTTAAGTTTTATCTTGTCCTGTAAAGACGCCTTCTTGCCATCTTCTTGACTCAGACTGTGATCGAAAGTAGTTGGTGTCTGTGTAACACGAAACCGTTCCAGTGAGATTTAGTACTGAGCATGTGCTTGCTATACGCTGAGCGTTTCCTTTGGCATCGGAACATTTTTTGGTTTGTAAACAAACAGGCTAAGTGCATCCTTCACAATTCGCTAAACTACCATTGATTTTTTTTAGTTTTGTGTGTGTGTGTGCTTATGATTCAATCCTTTGCAATCCTTTAGATCAGATCCTCTTACAACAACCACTAAACCACGAGGCTAAGCCAAGCAAACTTAAGTAGTCCAATGCACCAATACTTCATTCTTCCATTTTCTTCAAAATCTATAAGAGTGGTAAACTCTTTTTCCAAATGACATCATTTGCCTTGTTCCTCTCTGTACAATAATCTTCTTCTAGATTGTTATCCAAATAATATTGAGCTTCTTCTACTACTAGTACCATAGAAGAAAAATTATCTGTGACTAAATGTGTTTCCGTTAATATGCTTATCCATTTGTTTAAACCTTTCTAAATGTTTGTTCTGAACAATGAAGTTGTTTAAGAAAAGAATTTCGCAGTTGGAGGTTTCTTCTGAATTTTAAAGATAATAGGATAATAAAATAAGCACACAACAAAAACTTGTATTTCTTCTTTAAAATCACCGAATCTATAATAAAGCTTTAGTTCTTAATTGAACAGATTAACGTCTTTAGATCACATCTATGTTTATTAGAGAAAATCCTTTGACAACATAAGTTTTCTTAAAAAGATTACGAAGTTATGAATACAATACGTATTCTTCTTGAAACAACCTTTGAAATATTTCAGAGTCAGATAAGGTTAATAAAAGGATGTTGGGTTTCGTTTAAAATGCTGTATTTTTGCAAGAAATTAGTGGTTCAGCTGTATCAGGCATTTCCAAGACCTATATTTTTCATTTTTGAAAAAAGAATAAAAAACAACTCCTTCATCCCACTGTATAGTTCACGTAGACGCTCACAATAGAACCAAGGATAGGAAGATACACATAGCATAATATAGGGACAGATGAAGGTGATAGACTAGAGAAAAGGCAGCTAATCGATGCCACCTTCCTCTAACTCTTGGGCTACTCTTTTACAAACCTCCAGTGGCACAGCGGTATGTCTACAGACTTACAACGCTAGAAACTGGGTTTTGATAACCGTGGAGGAAAAAGCACAAACAGCTCATTGTTTAGCTTTGTGCTTAGTTACAAACAAATAAACCAAAAACTCTTTTACAAACGAAAAATGGGATTTATCATCACATTGAAAGAGAGAGCATGGAATCTGAACCCGCGACTCGTCGATTACGAGTCGAGCACCCTAAATATTAAATCATGCCAGGCTATATTGTAGTTGCATACCAAGCTGCTGTTTAACTATATTTAACAGTAGTATCATCAGTAATGAGAGAATGTAATACATTGCTTTACTTTACATCATACACTAAGTATTTCTGTTATTGTAAACAAACGGCATGAGTGATAAACTATGAGGATTTAGTACAGTTATTTTACAAAACTTGAATCATAAAACACATATAAGAAAGAGTTCCCAATCCCCATTACAAAATAAAAACACTTAATCAAATTGAATAACTGGCACTTTCTATTATTTTACAGCATTTAACACTGTATACGAATGATTTTTTTCTGTGAAGAGCCTCTTCTACCAACACTGAGCTTGTACTGTCCTTTAGACCAGTGGTTCCCAAACACTTTTAGTCTAAGGCTCCCTTGATGTGAATAAAACAGTTTGAGGCCCCCCAACCTATAAAACTGCCTTAAAATGTGATTTTAAAATCCCCCCGACACACACTACTTGAGCATGGTGATTAAAAAATAGTGTCGTAGTAAAAACAATAACATCTCCTTTCGACATTCTGTATCATTTAATTAATATTATTTATCGGCTTATTGTTTATTTGGAATTAAAATTAATTCAGAATCTTTGTTTTCGGCCCATTTTTTTGGCAACCCCCCAGAAAAAACTTCACGTCCCCCAAGGGGGCCGCGGCTCCCTCTTTGGGAAACACTGCTCCAGACAATATAATCTTAATACGATGTTTTGTAAGCTTGCATGCTCCAATTCCTTTCCCAAACCTATGGTACTGCAAGAAAAGTTTTGTTGCACAAGACACAAAATTTTTCACTGTCATCTTCTCTCACTCCCCCCCCCCCCCACTTTTTATACACTATTTTGAGCATGCCTATTCATTTTTCATTTTCCCATTAATTTAACTTAGTCACTGTGATGAGAACTCCGTTTTCCGCTTACTCATCTTTTTTGTTCGTAAAGCACATAAAATTTCATTTAAATACATGCATAAATGTTTCTATTCAGGTATTATGTATATTATATTTGGAATTTAGGAATACGTAATTTGGAAAAATTAATTATGTGCGAATAACATTACAAATATTAAAAGATCTGCATTATAAAATAGGAACATCATTCTTAAAACCATTGTAAGGGTTTGATGGTTTAGTTTGGATATTCGTGCAAGATTATACAAAGAGTTACATATGTTATAATAATACGATTTTGAATAGGCAAATCAACATGTCTCGTGACAAAATCACAACCCATGCGAAGTCTCGATGGAGCGGCGTGTATCAGAACTACATTTTGACATTGCTTGGCGTTTTGTAAGTAGTGTGATTCCACTGAAAACTGATTGCTTTTAGGAAGAGTATGTAACAGCCCTTTAAGATACAAAATGTGTTCAGATCAGGCATTTAGAATATCCAAGACAGGGATAACCTTGTACCCAATAGCTTTAGAAAACAAAGGAATATGGATGAAGATGGTTAAGCAGGAAAATCCAGAAATAGACCTGCAACAAGTCGTTACCCAGACCTGATAAGCAGGTGTGGCGTTTTGTAACAGGTGAGAATCTACGAACACAAAGGTCAGACAACAGTACGCAACATAATTAAGAAAGATCATCTCTGTTTGGAAACTTATGGAAAGTCACGTGTACACAAGCTGCGTCCACGGAAAACCTGTTCAAAAGTCAAGCAGCTGGAGAAGAAACGGGTATTCATACTGTTCTATACGAAGAAATATTGGACAAGTCGCAGAATACAACGTCTCTGTGATCAAATTGTTGAAATGGGAGTTGGAAAACCGTCATTTTCAAACACGAAATGGATTATAGAAAACCAGCAGCGATAATGATATGCTTTTGACGTGATAGTCTTACCATGCAGCCTTTTGCGATAGGAACTACGCTCTATGGCCATTGGCAAGATGCACGGCCGTCAGATATTACATGACTGGACGTGGCGACATGGCCTGTAGCCACGTAGTGAGAATCCAAAATAGTTTTATATATAACATATTCCATCACTGTATAAGAGCTATCTGCGCTAGCTCTGATAGAAGGTAAACAGCTATCTAACAGCATCCATTGCCAGTTCCTGAGCTACTTTCATTGAATAGCGAGTTTGATTGTCACTCTTATAATGCACCCAGGGCCCCCAATTCGATTTTAATTTTTTTTTTATTTTTATTTTTTGCATAACTAAGGGGCTTCAGATCTACCGTCCGACACGCTAACCACTATGCCACGGCCGGCCCAACCTTGTTATATAGAGTAACAGGCATAAAAAATATATATAAAAAAAACACAAAATATCAGAAACTTAAGAGGGATGAAAGGTCTATATAAATAAGAATTAAAATAAGAGTTAAAGGCTAACGTTGTTACAACTCTGTACAATGTCATTCAGTTTTATCAGGGAGAAATTTTATGTAGTCTGAATCTCTTGTTGGACATTTACAACTAGTTTTGCAATATTTAACTATGATCACATTTTCTTCGTTGTACTTTACATTTCTAATCATCCTAATTGTTGTTTATGTAGTGAAATCTTTACCATATTGCTACCATAAAAAAATCCGTTAATTTGATCTGTTTGCATTAAGCACAGATATGTGTCCAGTTCAAGGATCGAGCCCTATGTTTTAGCGTTATAAATTTTCAAGCTTATCGCTGACTCACAGGTGGCTCTTCATACGGACATCATTCCTAACTCGCAATATAAAATAAAAATATTCGGTAGATATATGAACATTCATGCGTGTGCTTATAGAATACAAAACTTTTTAATATAAAGATCAGAGTTCTGTGGTGTGGTTGTATTTATCTATCATAACCTAACGATAAAAAA